TGACGTTTACGCAAGGTATATATGGTTTGCACGTTAAAGCGGAATATCTGTTGTGGCCGAGACTCCAAAGTCGGTGTGACGTTTACCGAGAAACGTGGCCGCGGTGACACCGTTAACTATTATAGCTACTTATAGCTACAAGCGTCTATTTAAGTATGTATGTCAGAAAAGTTTATGCTTGGACCTAGGATTCACCTTAACGTTGGATTCCATGCTGTCCTAGTTTAAGCTACGGTATTATACTTGTAAAACAACATTTTGGGAGTAAAGAAAAAAAATTATTACAGGACAGTCACACTCCCAACCCATAGCGACAATTTCTGCGCGGCTAAGCTAATGAGTGCGTGATGTAGAAGACAACCATTCGCGTGGTCGCGGGGCTATGAAAGAAGCGAGCGTGCTCGTGCACATGTGGTCCCACGCGGGAGCAGTGGACGAGGAGCACGCGAATGCCGGCTGTCATTCAATAGAGCGCCCCGTCGAACTTGACCCTAGCGCACGCAAGGTCCCCGCGGCCCGCGTCGTCCTTGCGGCCCGCGCCCAGTTAGCAAAGTGGCTCAGTGGAACGCCGCTTCTCCAATAACGCGCGTCTCAATCAGCGGAAGACGTCGATCAAAGCGGAACTCGAGGAGGCCGCGAGCAGCCGGTGGAAATAGGGCTCGCCGAGGCATCCGGCTCAGTGAACGGCCGAGCGGCCAACCGCGGCGGCAGACGGATCTCCGACGGCACGCTTGCTTGCGTGGCCAGAATGGGGTCTCTGCGCTGGGTCAGCTCACGCTGGGCGCTGCACGCCTACTGACACACATGGCAACCGCCGCCCGCGTTTATTTAACAACGGCGGCCCTTTCTTCGGCTCCGTGACGGACAGTCGTCCCCTTGCAGGGAGAAAACACACCGAGCCCGACGAAAGCGCAGGGCCCGCCCATGTCGTCAGCCCGCGAAGCAATTCGAAATGCCGCTCATAAGGAAGCGCTTCGCGCGACTCAAGCAACAGAAATTTTGCCGCGCCTGCAGATAACTGCGTCTTGAACCAAAGGCAACGTTTTTCAATTGCCAGATGATGAGCAGTTCTCCCTGTCATGATATCAATTCAACATTCACAACCATAACTCAATGCATGGAACTCTACGTGCTTGTAAAATTGTTCTTGTTGTTGCTGTAGTTCACAATTAACAACATAAAAATTGCGTCATCTAAGCAGCCAAAGACACGTGCTCTGAGAAGGCATCTCTAACGCAAATTTGCAGCAGCGCATGGATATATTATTTCTGTGCTTACTTTATTAATGTACCTCTTAGTTTTTTTTTTTTTTTGGTTATTTTTCATAACGTGCTCCCACACAGAGTAGCAGGAACAACTATACTCTCGGGCAAGAAGTAAATTCAACATTAAAAGCTCTGTATCGGTTTCCTTTGTTACAAGCCCGAGTGAAACTGGGCCACAGTGAGCCAACCTTTTAAAGTTTCCTTTCCTGGCGATGGTCGCTGCGGCGGGACGAAGACAGCTTTAAAACGCACGATAGCGAAAAGATTGTTTCTGAACAGCGCAATGAGCAGCTTGGAACTGCAAATATCCGAGCTAATAGACGAGAATTTTGTTGCTATGAAGAATGGTGCTTTGAAGCTACCAACTGTAGAAGAGAAACGCCCATGCGAAGGTTTACAAAACATCAAACGAGGTAATAAATTTCTTCAACACACATTGCCGCATGAATTCACGTTTTAAAAGCCTCCGTTTCGTTTGCAGCAACTGACGACCTGCTTTTCTTTACAACCGTGCTTTTGCATGCGCGAAGAAATCCAAGAAGCGGGCCCGAATATGGGTTTTATTAAATAAATACATTTGCTAAAGTGCGTTACCCATTTACACATTTTTCCCTCAATGTGGTTCAAGTAGTTAAGGAAATGAGCATTTTTTTTTATTTTTGACTTGGAAAGTAATGCTTCCTTCGTCGTGCTCAACGGGAGGACAATTAGTCTTTCCTCTGCAGGTAGGCACCTAAGATGCCTATTACCATGGAGTTCTGTACGTCGTGTACTTGTGCAACCTACTATGTTCTACACCTGCCACCATTGTCACTATAGAAACTCCGGCTAACAGACTCAGGATCAGATTTGCGCATACACAGGAAAGTGGACGGCAGAGTTAAAATCGAAGATACGTTGGCAGCGCATCCCACAAAGAAAGCTGCATCGGCAGTAGGCGCATGAGGAATGCTTTATTACTCACTTGCATTGAGAGTGCGTGCCACATTGATTGAGGGCAGCTGCAACTACGCCCTCATAAACGCATGTGTAGGTGAAAGGATCAAAGAAGTACGTTATGCGAAGCATAAAAACTGAAGTAAACAACATCGCAATGCGGCGATCAAAATATATGGGGTCTTTAGGCGTTAGGCAAAAATTTTTTTAAATATGGGTATTAGATCAACGCAGCAAACATACAGAAAGAGGTCTGCAAACAATAATCAGAGATTAAAATACGATGATGAACGTTTTCGTGTAATGAGGCTGTACAAAAGGCGTGCAGGCTAAAACAAGCTCGCTTCCAAAGCGGGCCTAGGACATGGTCATTTTTCGACGCCATAGCCGCAACAAAAATAAGTGTACGGGCTCTACTAATCCCGTTATGTATGTGGTATGCACGTCGCAATGGCGAAGCCCACTTGAACTCCCGCCGTTTTACATTGACCACGTCACACTTGTCTTACCGAAGAGAGCAAAATTCGGTATCAGGCGCCAGTCGCTCTCTTATGTGGCCGGGCAAACATTCTTCACCTTTCAGTAACGCAAGCGCTCATCGGCGTTACTGTTTCACTCCGCTAGTGATACCGGGTTACGCAGGCTTTCATAACGTTGACGTTTCTCCCCTGTTTCCCCTTCTCAATTTTCATGCCCATTTTGTGACCCGATTCTTCGATGAAGCCTGTAAGGAGAAGCAAAGCTAAAGCTCTGCAATGGCGTAATCATATCTTTGCGAGTTTAAGTGGCAAATAATTCCGCCCATAGGCGGTGGCGGGAAACTCCAGCAGCGGCATTTCTTACATTCAGCTTCGAGGCATGCAACCCGTTATAGCTGAAGTCTATATACTATAGCGCCAACCCTCTCCGGTTCTGGTCGGGTCTCGCCTCGGTAATGGCAGTAAAAAAAAAATTGGACTAACTGCCGCCGCGGGCGCCCTAAGCGCCTAAAGACCGGCCAGTCAGGAGCGCGTGAGAAGCGACCACTCGGACCCCGTGGCCGAGTCATGCGCGAAGGCAAATTGCGGTCGCTCCATACAGTCGCCCAGGGGCGTCACCGGGCGTCCCATCTTCAGAGACGTCCTCGCGCTGTGCCGGCCGCAACAAGGCCCCGGGCCGCTCCTCTGGCTGGTGCCGGCTCAGTGACAGCGCGAGCAATTAGGCTGCAAGCCTAATAATCCGGGATGCCTACCGCGCTTATTTAGGCATTCATTGTGCAACGCCACTGCTCCTCCCCCACTGCAGCGGCAGAGGGGTATAACTGGGTGTTCACAGCCCCTCCATTCTAAGCACGCACTCTCGGACATGGGCGTACAGCCACCAGCACCTTTAACACGAACACTTCGATGCGTGGCCAGGGCTAGTTTTATTGATGCCAGCCGCGAAGTGCTGGGCGCTTTTGCCGAGATAATGTCTCGTTAGGCTTGGATGATGTCTTGGCATGTACGGTTAGCATCTTGGCAACAGAACCCAAAACATACGTGGTGTCAGCGTCAATCAAACTGCTGCAGGACACGCGGCGGAGCGTTCGTGTTAAAGGTGCTGGCGGCTGTACAGACGACGTCTTGGCGTCCTCTTTCAGCCAAAGTCTTCACAGCAGCAAAGGATCGTGGTCTCGCGGTAATATGCCGTAGTGAAGTCAGGTCGCGTATTATGTAATCGTCCACACAAATGAGTTTTGCTGCTGGAGAATGTTTGCTCTAATGTTCATCTAGAAGTTATAATACATGCAGCTTCCTTATTAATTCGCCATCGCTGCAGAACATTTAATATATGAGCCACAGTCCTTGGGTTACATTTCGATAATTTGACACCATGTTCCATTTATTCGGCAGCATATATACGCGATAGTGTGCTTGCGTATACTTTTTTAGGTCTCTTCACTGCGTCTAAGACGCTTAATTATTTTTCGCTGACTCCACTGTCAGGATACATGAAAAAAATTAAAAAGTATAGGTGGCATCTAAAAAGGGTTCAAACACTTGTATAGACCACTGCGGATAAATGAAACAGTAGCCTAATATACGCATGTTTCTTCGAAAATAGTGAACAAGCTGATGAAAAAACGCGTTTTGTATCCGAAATCATACCAGAACGTAATGCGTTCGCTTCATTAGAGTACTTCAAAAAACATTTCTTGCTTATTCATTCGTCTCATACTATAAGTGATTAGAATACTTTAGCAGCAGCACTTGTTCCGTGCATTCATGGAGCTCGTCCATGCCCAATGGCGCACATCTGATACAAGCATACACGCAATATATTATGCCATAAAGACAATTCAGTCACAATAAAAAAAAGTGTGCTTAAGAACTGCTGAAATTGATGAAACTGAGAAAAGTGATCAAGGTGCTCAATTAATTTCATTATTTAAATCAAAAAGTTGATGAAACCAAGGAAAGCATTTTTCGGTCCTCTAAAATTTCAAACTGTAACACGGCGTCAGCTGAAAGCTACCGCACATAAGCGTGCGCACACGAGTTGGACCAGAGGAACCACCTCCCTCCTTGCCCCCCCCCCCCCCATGGAAAAAATTCAATTAGGAATTGAGGAGGGGGAGGGAAAGGGGCAAGCCTGCCAAATACATTTATTAGGTTGGACCTGTCCCGTCATAGTTTAAAAAGCAGAGTTACGGACATGCGGGTTTTAGATGATAATGCCCCTTGGCAACGTTTTCTTCTGGATAGTAACGCAAGTATAATGCAGGGAAAAGTGCATGCTGCTGCTTATTGCACTCAGAAAAATGACTATGCCGTAACAATGGTCTTTGCGCGGCTTGTGCAGGGAGGAGAAGCGATGCCCCGACCATTGTGCCTGCTGTTCTTCCTTCTGGTCGCCTGCACGTGGCCCCTGCCACATCAGCAGGTGAGTGCGCGTATCTTGTGCCTGCCCCGTGCTGTGACATGTTCTTGGGTTTGGGTGTGCGCGTCGAGGCAGCAGCAACGGCCACGAAGCCACCCCAGAAAGCAGCACAATCAGCAGTATTTTTCTCAGTTTTTATGTATTTGACTTGATTCTCTGAACGCGAATTCTTTTGGTGATATATAGAAGAAAGTGTAAGCAAATGATTGGTATACTTCTATAAGGCAGGTAGTGGCCAAGTACTGCACCAGGGGGCCAATCCTGCCCTGGTGAGAAAGCGAATTACCGGCAGGTGGTCGCCAGTGAGGCCACACCCCAGACTTCTTTTTCTTCCATGATTACTTTATCACGCATTTTAGGTAAATATACGACGGGGAATGCTCCAGCGTCTGCATTCAAACCGAGATTTGTCATTGCATGCTAGTCGGCTCCGCTATCTCTAAGTGTAGAGTTCTGTTGCTCTTTCTTAGCGCTGTAGAATGCCACCTGACAGAATGGTAATAGCTCGTATTCACCTATATATTTAAAAAAGCAAAGACATAAACTAATACGAAAGCAGCCGAATAATGAGCTGTGGCGAGAGGAAAAGTACGAAATCAGAGTTTCGCTTCAAAATAGATTCGAGGCTCTAAACGAAGTAACCGACGTTAGCGTCGACACAATGAACGACAATCTTACTAGTACCATCAAAGAGTGTGCAATGGAAGTCGGAGGTACAGTCACCAGACAGGACACTGGCGAACTATCTCAGGAGACAAAAAATCTGATTAAGAGATGACAAACCATGTAAGCCTCAATCGCAACCGACCATATAAAGCTAGTGGAGCTTTCGAAACTAATCAATAGTCGCAAGGTGGCTGACATCAGAAGGTACAACATGCAGAGAATTGAGCAGGCTGTAAAAAAACGGCAGAAACCTAAAAGTTGCGACCGTAAACTTGTACATAGGGAAAAATCAGATGTATGCATTTATGAACAAGAAAGGCATTGGCATAATCAATATCGATAGAATAGTTGAGGTGGCGGAGATCTACAGAAAACTTTACAAAAGCCAAAACAACCAGGATGATATCGTAAGAAGCAATAATAGCCAAGAGGAATTCGGCATCCTACCAGTAACGACAGGTGAAATAAGGAAAGCCCTAGAATGAATGCAAAGAGGCAAAGCCGTTGGTGAGGATAAAGTAACAATGGAGTTGCTGAAAGATGAAGAAATCGTAATAGAAAAACTGGCCACCCTATATATAAAGTGTCTCGTGACGGGAACGCTACCAGAATAGTCATTTAATATGATGCTCTGGCTTAAATTTATTGGTTAGGAGTGTGATGAGGCAGCGTGAATACTTGTTTTACATTTATTTATTCGAATGTTTGTCGCCTGTCACAAAATGGGTGAAGCATGCAACTTGTATGTAATCAATTGTGTTCAATAAAACCTTGTACGTTCTGTTCGGTGATGTCCCAAAAGTTGACATATTGTGGATCATAAATTCATGAGCTTCTCAGAATTTCGCGGCAAGTGCCACTTCAGCCAGGGGAGAAAAAATGCGAACATTAAACTACTCCCTGATGTGTTGCGCCAAATTATGAGAACGGTATTCGACAATGTGCAGCCAATGTGAATGTGTAGACTGTTGTGTTGCTACTGAAGCTGGCATAGGTAGTCACATTACTCTGTCATTAAATTAATAATACTCAAACTTCAAAGGTGGCCTGCCCCACTGTGTGTTAATGGCACTGGGAAATCACAATGTCCAGTTTAGCGATTAGGCGACGTACTTTTCAAATATTCACTTTTCAATATGACGACCTGTTGATATGTTATTAGGAACTCTTATTGATAGCCGCGTGATTTATTCAGTTCTACGTGTACTATACAATCCGGCTCATCCATGGATGCAACAACTGCAACTAGTTTTAAGCTTCGAGCGTGAGCAAGTGTAATGCCTCTGACTTGCTTAGCCTCGACGCTTTCTCACCAAGCAGTTCAGGTGTTGGTATAGCCGCACAAGTTCTTAGCACCGAAATGAAAAACCACTACGCCGAATATCACTTTTCGGAAGAGTGGTTCAAACTATGTGTAATAAGATGCCAGCCAAGACCCGCTTTTTTTCATATCTATGGGCGGAAATGAAGAGAAGATGCATGTGTGTTTTTTTTTTTTTTTTTTTGTCAAAGAAAATGGTACTGGCATGCAACGCTTACTGGATGAGCCACTGCTCATTTGCACAACAGGGTTGAAGCGACAAGGTTTTATTACCAGAGGCATGGAAGATTTCTCCTGTTCTCGGGTACTCGGGTACTACTCAACGATACTTGACCATCCAAATCTCGTTGATCTCACATGGCCAGGAAGCAAGGTCGATGCAAAGGGAAATAACTTGTGGCGAAATTCGTTCATCAAAGGAAAGACCATGAACTGTGTACGTAGTGTACTTAATCATCAATTTGATAGGTTCATTCTCACATGATTGTTTACGTGGGGCTGTAACTATAGGCTTGTAGAAAACCTTTACATAAGCTCTACTGACCCACATAGTCATTTCGGTTATGTGGGTCATGGAAAGTCAGCGCTTCGCAAGAAAGTTGGCACACAAGATTCAGTTATGTAGCCAAGCTTTCAAATTACTTTGTAGTTCAGGTATGTACAACATGCAACGTGATCTACGTACAACGTAATCGATTTTTTTTCTTCGACGGTACGCTTTGTTGAGGGTAGGAAGGCAGAAAGCCATTAATTCAAGAGCCGGTATCAGAGTAGTGTCCCGCAGTTGTTTAGTTTTACTTGCGACGAGTTTATCTAGCACTTCCACGGGACAGAAAACGTGCTAAAGCGAAATAATCACAGAGGTGTCCTAGTTATAATTTCTAGGAGGACTGCCAGTTCGCCGTGTTAGTAGAGGTTCATGATGAAACAAGCGATAAAAAAATACACACACTCAGAGAGGACACACACAATATTATCTCTGTGGTTCAGTATTAGCAAAAGAAAAAAAAACATGTCACCAATTCCTACAATGTGCGTGCGTTAAGAAAAAAGAAGAAAACAAATGGCAAAGTGCAGGCTCAATGTCACAAAGCAAAGAATGCAAATGCAGGACTTCTAACACTTGAAATCAATGGCAGTAAAGCACGTGGTTTCACCCGTCTCTGTCACCTGTCAACATGTGGTCGACCCTGTGCCATTGGTGCCGATGTCGCAGTGATATCACCATTTATTATTTGCCTTGCTGAGGATACGTCGAAGAATAAATAAGTGATGGTGTAGCCACAGCTGGGGTTAACCTGATAGACCTGGCCGCCGATTGCTTCACGAGTGGCTCTTTCGATGCAGTATGTCTCCCCATGTACGACCTAAGCCAGTCTATCACAAAAAAAACGTAGATGTATAGGAACCGATTCTTTGCTGATCATCCGCACACCTTCGGGAAACGATGCCCCGCCGTGGTGGTCTAGTGGCTAAGGTACTCGGCTGCTGACCCGCGTGTCATGGGATCGAATTCCGGCTGCGGCGGCTGCTATTTCAATGGAGGCGAAAATGCTGTAGGCCCGTGTGCTCAGATTTGGGGGCCCTCCACTAAGGCGTCTCTCATAATCATAAGGTGCTTTTGGGACATTATACCCCACATATCATATCAAATCCTTCGGAAACAAAACTTCTTCTCGGCATTGCTAGTATTACGAAATGATGACAACAGTAACGTTAAAACTTAGGTGCGTTGGTGATCACTTATTACATCTTCCGAACATTCTTGCGAAGCTTCCAATGTAGTTTAACATAAAAGCTTAGGTTGCACGGTGACAGGCATGCATATATAATGCTAATAAAGGAAAAATGACGCTCACGGAGTGATTTGTTTCTGTAATGGAGTTTTTTTTTTTTTTTCGTTTTGCACTGCCATCGCGACTTCTCTGACGGGTTCTCTGAAACTGCCAGTGAAAATGCGCGCTATCAGACCCAACGCACGCATTGCGTACGTACGAGTGATTCACCGAAGACACCAGATGTTAAGCTCTCGAGGGAGTGCCGAAAATATTCAGGAAAGGTCTCAAGCTGATCCTGCGCAGTACTTATGAAGCCAGTGTGCAAGCTCTGTGAAAACTTTCGAAATTATTCTTGGATTAACACATTCAGTTTGGGCTCGTCTTGCGCATTTGTACCTGTGTATTTCAACATTGGTAAGGGACACTGCTCCTCTCGATCTCTTGCACCTAATATCACAGCAAAACTTGGCGAAGTACTTCAGCACAGGACCCCATCTGAAAAAGTGCGGCAACACGGCGCAGTAGCTTACTCACCCAAAATTATTCGTCTGGTTAAGAAATTCTCTGGCAATGGTCCAACTCATATTGCGGTACACTTCCTAAACGACCAGATGCATCCAAATATATTTCTTTTTTTTTACTTTTTTGTTCTCATTTCATGCCATATTCATCAGAGTGAAAAACAAAACAAGTAAATTTCCAGAGTGTCTGACTCGTGGGGCCATGACTCCGTGTCTGTCCGTGCCCTGGCACTGGATACGTTCTCATGCATGCCCCAGTACGAAGTGATGGCATCTAAAAATATAATCACAGGGAGCTGCACCGAAGCTCTGGGGGGGTGTCAAAAGGACAAGATGGGGCGAACTTCCGCCGCTCGACTTTTATTTTGCTCCTTTCTTTCGTTCTTTCGCTCTTTCCCTGTACTTTTTTTTTTTTTTTTTGCCGGAAACGACTGAACACGGAAGAGTAAAAGAGACATGAAGGCTCTGCAGGCGGCGCGCGTGCGCTGTTGCCGAGGCGCTGGGGGACATTACGTTGAAGAGAGGAAAACGTTGGAAAATTAAAAATAAAAATACTAATAAAGTGCAACCCTTTTCAGCCCCCTTCCCTTCCTTTTTTTTTTTTTTGCCGGAATTAAGCGTAGCAAATGCGACCTCTTGAGGTGAATGTGCATAACGCCGCCTTCACTCGTAAAAAGAGACGCATACGGCATCTCGTTTTTTATCTCTTTTTTATAT